CCTTCCTGCCCTGGTTCACACAGACAGGCATGGCCCTGGGCATAGTGGCCAGCCCCCCGGGCATGGCATCTGCAGAGGCACCAGCCTGGCAGGTACAGTCGTCGTCTGGCTCAGTCAGAGCTCTGCTTGAAACCGCCTGCCTGCGTTGGCCGGTGGTGCTGGGGTCGGTGACCGTGTTGCCTGTGTTTTTCTGCGGGTGATCTGGGATGGTTTGTTTTTTCACTCAGCTGGGGAGCACAGTGCCGGCAGCGAAGAACTGCTGTCTTTTAAGTTGCAGGTTACAGCGTTGTGTAGCTCAAAATGGATTGCTCCTGGGCTTAAGGCACCAGCGATGCAAATGTAGCACTTTCAGGCTGTTGATTCTGTAATCGATTCAAGACCTGTTAATCGGGCTTTTTTATTTTTTGGTGTACAGAGTGGCAGTGTGCTGACAGTGTATACTCTATGAAAGACAGTGTTGGCCTGCTGTATGTGCAACATTGTTAGAATAGTAGAGGTTACTTCAGATTGCCTTCAGCACAGATCTGTCTTCAAGGTGCATGGTGACAAGAACAAGAGAGGAGGAATGATCGTTTACTTACTCAGCTCACATGGCTGAGGAGCATGGAAGATGGTTGTTTATTTGGTATCGGAATCTTTAGCTAGGTACTTTATTAATCCCGTGAGGGGAAATTGAAGATTAACACTGGCCAGGTCTGATCAGTCAGTTCTCCGCAATGATGATCCAATGAAGTAGACAGCCGTGTCTGTATGGTTTTGACTGATACTACCAGCTTTGTTGAATTTAGTGAAGGTCTGCCACAGTTGATAAGAACATATTGTACATATATAGTTCATATGTAAAACTTGCTGATAAATCAAAGAGCTGTTAAATTTCTCTGACAAAATGTTTAGCAGGTGTATGGATTATCAGTAATTTTTACTTTTTGATGTTGATAATGATTGTACAGTATGTTGTAGTTGATTACTCCTGTTTTATATTCATCATCATGGTTAGTTTAGTTGGTAGATACCTGATACATGAGATTGTAAAATCTTATTTGTGTAAAGAGAGAATTCAATGAGCTGTATGGTCAAACAAGTCTGTCCTGGCTGTCTTGATGCTTTACAAAGCCTTTTTGTATTACCAATGCAATACTGCACACCTAACCTCTCTTCTTAAGGAAAATGATTTTTGTGGGGTCTCAAACGTTTGAGTTAGTGCCAGACACAAATACTCACATCTCACCTCAGTTGTCACATTCACACATCTCACTTTGTTCATGTGCCTTTGGTCTTGAGGCATAATTTGTAAACGATTTACAAATATTCGCCTTCAAAACATTTTTAGAAAATGTCTTGTGAAATAAAGTGATCTCTTGTTATTACGTCTCATGGGGCTTCAATCTTGGTACATACCATCCCAAATTGTCTCACAAGAGATGCAGTTTTGTACTTGTTACTGTGATTGGATGCAGTGATATCTGAATGTCCCCAGCCTGTTGATTCAGGGCTGAGGTTCCACTGACGCTACAGGGGGGAAGGAGGCTTTGTGCAAGTTGTTGATTTGGCTGGTTGTGGTAACTGTGCCGCCCCTGTGTGTCCGCAGCAGAACGAGGTGACAGACAGCGCCTACCTGGGCTCCGAGAGCACCTACAGCGAGTGCGAGACCTTCACAGACGAGGACACGGGCACGCTAGTGCACCACGAGATGCACGAGGAGGTGGAGACGGACAGCGCCATTGACTCCACGCTACACGACTCTGAGGAGGCGGGGAGCAGGTGAGTGTCACGTCCCCTGCCCCCCCCCTCAGGTTAGAACCCCCTGTTCAGTTCTGTGCCACACCATCGACTGGATACATCTCGACCGCTGGCACAACTGGGCTCGAGCTGTACCTAGGGACCCACGATCTGTTTTCACCCCTGGGTTCTGGTAGGGAGGTATCACAGGCCAAAGATTCAGAAACAGTTTCTTCCCCCAAGCAGTCCACATCATAAACAGCTCAAATTAGCACCTGCATTTTAAGGTACTGCACTGTTTGCACTATGTCCTGTCTTTGCTGTGTTAATAACATCTATTGTCTAAATTCACTGTCCATGTCTGTTTGTCATTTATGCCTATTTTTTAACTGAACTGCAGTTCATAAAAAAAATTGTTCTTACTGGCTAAATAAATCAGTGTTGTATCGTGCATTCTTGTGTTTGATAGGAATGCTCATTCTTAAATTTTAAATACTGCTCAGCTGGAACATTGAAAAGCTCTAGTCTTCAATAGCACTGGTAGAATCTGCTTTAAATGCTTGATGTAAAAAAAAAACAAAATCTCAGTACTGTATTTTTTACATCTGTTTTGACTTGGAAAGAGAACTGTTAATTTTGGCTCATATCTTAACGTTACTCCTGCTTGTGTTGGATTGGAAGTAGGAAAGGCAGCAACTGAGAATTGTTTGAAAAGATAACGTATCTACAGAGAAAAATTCCTTTAAGTGCTCACTGTAACTGTGGATTTCATTTATCCCTCCCGTGCGTTTAGTTCGATTTTTTTTTGTAAAATACTAAGTCTTGTCCATCTGTAAAAGCAAATATGTCAAAGAAAAGACAGATTGCACTTCAACTTTTTTCTTTGCTTGTTTTCATTTCAGCGGTTAATCACGTCTCCCCATTGCAACAAAGAGTCTCTGAAATTAATTTGTTGATGCTGATCAGTCCCTCCAGGCTTTTTATGAGGCGCTTGCCAGTGCGAATATTGGAACGCACCAGTGCACAGCTTAGCAGAGACTCCGATCTCTTTATTACACCGCTCTTGGGTCACTGCTGGGGGTCCTTTAGAGCCCAGTTGACGCTGACCTTTGCCCATCTGTGAACCTTAAGATCCATTAAAAAATATCTGCGGATTAATCATCAAGCTGGCTACTTTGCATAGCTGAGCCTGTGGAATATCAGCTTGTCTCTGAAGCTGATAACCCTATCTAAGTTTACATTTCAGCTTCAGAGGTGTGACCACTCTCTTCATGCTCGGAAGCTAACAGCACACCTGAATGCCAAAAGCTTTGACTCAAATGAAGAAATGTTTTCTTTTTTCTTCCTCTCTGTTGGTCAGCTGTTTCCTAGTGCCGGTGTTCGTGTTTGGGGAAAAAAGTGCCCTACAGGCTCAAGGTACCTGGGAATTAGTCTCAGCATGGCCACCAGTGTGTGTTTGTCTGCACTCCTTACTAAAACACCCAGAGTTAACAGTGCTGCAAAGCTCTTATCACCCTCTTGTAACTTATTTAGCCCTATTGTTTGTCTCTTTCTTGAACTTTGTATTAAAAGACCCCAAAAAGAATAATTCGTTTAAAATGTACACTTTCTCCTGAGTCTAGTGAGATCCCTGCAAGCCTCTTCCATCTCTTTAGGTTGTCCGTTTGGTTATCGGAGTCATCCTTGTCTGTGATTACAGACAACTGGGCTGAAGAGCATTTTGAGTTTAAAAAAAAAGTGAAACTGTGCCTTTGAAAAGTTTGCAGACAAGAGGGACGCTCTTATTTAGCACAGTGTCGCAATTCCCTTTTAAAATAAACTGGGCGTTAAAAATAACAGCAGGACACAATTTCATGTTTCCGTTGGATCCCTTCTTGTCTGCGGATCTTTTGAACTGGTAGCAGGCCGAGTGATTAAACTAGCAGGGTGGTTACAAAATTCAGATTTGATACAGTGTTGAACTGACGACCTTGAATAAGCTCTGGGAAAGAGCCATACGTTTGTGCCAAGCCAGTGGGGGGTTCAGATTTGTGTGTTTGCGGTGCTAGTTTCTTCACCTACAAGGGATCGCTGAGGTGGAGAAGAGTTTTCCTCCCTGTTCATTGCTGGCTGTTCTGCACTGGGGGGTCCGAGTTCTGGTTACAGCTGTTTAGAACTCCTGCAGGGTTTCCAGTAAGTTTTGAGTCACGGATGCTGTTGTTGTTGTCAGTTTTGCCTTGCCTTTTGTGAGAATAATTGTTTTCCACCGGGTTTCAGGAATACTCCACCGTGTTTCAGGATTCTGAATACTCTAAAATATTTCTTTGAGCCACACTATAAATTGCTTGCTTATTGTTGCACAGGTACTGAAGGTCTTTTTCTACTTTTTTAAACATTTTTTAAATCATTTTAACGTTACATTTAAAAAAGTAAAAACATCTTCTGAAGTAGACTGAAACGTTAATATGAAACAAGGAGAAGGCTTACTTATGATGGCATAAGTGAGGAAAAATTGATTCTGTAGATAGTAAAAGTGAGTGTTATCTTGCCTTGAGTAATACATTCCAATACCAGGACAAGTGCTTGTGTAGTCAGAAAGCAGTTATGGTGTCCCAGAGTGCTGTAGTTGGGATGTCACGAATAGGAATGGGGGTTTAGTCTGTTCCTGGACTGTTGTGCGGAGTGTATTAAGGTTTAGATAAAGTGGCAGATGCCCTGTGTAGGTGTAACAGTCTGTGCCCTGCTGCCAATGGCACCCTGTACATGTGGTGCCGTGTTTATGTGGAAAATGAAGGAACCAGAGAGCAAGAGGAAGCCGGGGCAAAGGCCCCCCGAATCTGCTGACTCGCTGACGGATCGCAGCAGCGCGCCGACAGCTCAGCACTCTCTCTGGCGGAGACGTGTTTTCGTTTCCCCTTTGGCGAAAGAGCCTTGAATCACAGGAAATGTCCAGTTGTCTCCGTTTCTGGAAGGTGCCCGTCGGCTGCTCCTCCCCGCCTCCTCTCTCCGACTGACCCGTAGGTCAATGTCGTCTTGCCTCCTCCAGGACCTGCCGCCGCCGAAGGAAGTCCAAGCTCTGAGCGTCGGCATTGAATCGAGTCATTCTGGCACTTTATTCGAGTCCTGTCAATGAACTCTCCTAGCCCTTAACAGGATACTGAATATACCTTGCAACATTTGAATTGGTGAATATGTTCAAATGAAAGGAGGCTCTCAGAAGAAAATATGGAGTCATAAAAGGCCCATTTTGCGCTAGCACACCTGTACAGTGGGGTCCCGGTAGTTATTTGTTTGAGAGTGCCAATGATAATTTCACAATCTGGGGTTTGGTCTCTGTGCTGTCCAACGGTAAAGAGTTGGGCACTCATGCTGTTTGATTGATCTTGGAAAAACTGCATTCTTGCGTGTTGAGCTTAAACACTGTCTTTTGTTCCCTATTATTACTTGCACATGATGCTCAACAGCTACAGATTTGCTGTTAGTCATGCAGGATTTCATAACTCCACTGGTCCACCTTTTTTCTGCCCGGCGTGAAAAGACTATGTGGAGGGGTTAGGGAGCACCAGGGAGCTTAAAGCTTTTTTCCTACATTTGAGCACAACCCTTCCGTTGCACAAAACAGGCCGCTATGTGTGCGAATGCTGGCCAAGATTAGAAATTAAACAGGATTATGCCCTCCCTCCCTCCCCCTCCCACAGCACCTCGCAGGGCACAGTCACTCCAATTCCCACTCCAACGCTTAACAGTAAATCTGATTAACGGAGCTAGTCTGTGCTTGGGTGTCGAAGTGAACAGGCTTTCAAAACCTCAACTGTAGCGAGAAGTCTGTTTGCTCTCTGGAGCAGGACACAACGTGCACAGAGGGCTCTGGGAATCACCCTGATCTTTCAAATCTGGGGGAGGGGTTCCCCCCTGCGTGGTCTTTCTATGCGTCTTGGAGTGGAGCTCTTTCCCCTGGGAAGAGGATGCGGCCCCTTGTCTTCCTCAGCATTTCCTGCCTTCGAGCTGAGTGCCGTTGTCCAGCTGGGGAGCGGGTGAGTGGAAAGGGTCTGTCAGTCCTCTCGGCACAGCCAGATCGGGTAGCTTGGCGTGCATGTGGAGCCTCTGTCCTCTTCCCCAACATCCCCTTCGCAGATCGGGGGGGGCGATTCTGTACGGTGTCAGTCCCCACCCCGCAGGAGTGTTTCTCAGTGTAGCTCCGCAAGTGACCGGACTGCAGCACGATCACGCTTTCACGCGTGTTTTATTTAAGAGGCCCAGAGCAGTTTTCAGTGAACTTTCCCCCCATCAGGAATAGTGCCTTAGTGTTATGCGCGCTTGTGTTGTAATGTGCAGCACGGGTGCACAGTCCAGAGTGTTGTATTTTAAAAGTATCATCAGTGGCAGGTGTATTGTTTTGCCAATTACACGTTTTCATTAAAATCCACTGCTGGAATCGGAGTTGCTACGAAGCTTGCAGAGAAAAACTTTGTAGGCTAAATTTGTCCGTGCTTCTTACAAGGTGTTACATTTAATGATAGTCTCCGAGTGTTAGAGTTTCCAACAGAATGTTAAAAGGGAGCTAACTGTGAATTTGTCATGATAAGCGATAAAATTCCTGAGGTGGAGCATTAGCTTGCACAATTCATGTAAGCAGTAACCAGTCATGTTGTCCTTAAACAGTAAAAGTAACCGTTCTGTTCATCAGTCCTAAAGGCTACTTGTGTGTCCTGACACCCCACGACAAGACAGTTTCTGGCTGTCCAGAACCAGTGTCTGTCTCTAGAGGTCTGAGCCACTTCAGCAGTGAAAAACGAAGCTGCTTTGACTCTTAATAATCGGAAGGATTTGGCTTTTTTGGCTTTCCAGGAAGTGTGAGGTGGAGATGAAGGGGTGTACGGGAAAATGGCAGGTTTCCACTAAGAAACCAGTTGCGAAATTGCACAGATTGTGCTGAAAGCAGCCCTCGGCTGTAGCTTGAGTCATCGGTGTTCTGTGGCCCCCTACACAGCTTGACATCAAACGGGAGTTTGCAAGTGCTGCGATACTCAGCGCAGTCCGCCACAGCCTCAGAGACATTTCATTTTTAAACACCTTGTTTTCACTGATTAGTAAGGACGCTCTTGAGCAGGTGGGCTGCTGTATTGAGAAAAGATATAACATTTAAGTAGAACACTTAAATATTATTTGGAAAGCTTGTGGATAACATCGTTATTTAGCAAAGGCTACTCAGTGCAAAACCTCAGCGACTGGAGCTCAATGTGCAGTTTATGCACATGCTAAGGAATGACATTCAACATAGTCCTGCTCAGAATCCAAAGTATAGCAATCCCAGTTATCTAGTTAACTAAATATGGAAAAGAACTTTCTAAGTTCTAAATTTTGTAATTGGGCCTTACAGGCTCAATTGGTTAGGAGCATTATCTGGACTTGGGTTGCTAGAGTTACAGACGTACATACTGGTACTCCAATGGTATTATCAAGAATTTCCTAAGTGTAATAAGTGGGGTTTTTTTAACAATAGGGGTTTAACACTCTTTTCAGGACACTTTCATGGCATTCAGTGGAAACTTACAATCGTTATTGAATTCGCTCATTATGAGACATGGTGTCAGTAACTGCATAATTCTAAAGAAGTGTTTCAGACTGTAGAAATATTCAAGCTCTATCACTTTCTTGATCATTGTAAAACTCAGCCTCAGCAAATTCTAGCTGTGGAATTACCTTAACTCTCAAAGTCCAACAGTGGCAGGACATATTCCTGGAACTGACTGATGGTCTTTTCAGTTCAGCGCTCCCTGCAAACTGTTTCAGTCAGCTTCTGAGCACCCTGTTTCATAGGGCATTGTTTGAAGCCCCCGTTGTGCGACTGCTGTGTTCTGTGTGTCTTGCAGGCTGTCGCTGGGCTCCGAGCTCAACAACCACTCCCTTGTGACGGTGATCAGTGGCCAGGAAGAGCATTTTGAGGATTTTGGGGAGGGTCACGACTCAGAGCTGCTTCTGGACAGTCCTGACGTCACGGAGGGGGACACCACTCCTGACACGCAGGTTCACAACTCCACACTGCTGCTTCCCGACAGGTACAAGCACACCGGTGAACGTGCAGCAGACAGATGGTCCAAATAGTTTTTTTATCTTGTCTGCAGCCTCATGCAGATTTTATTTCAGTTATAAATAAAAGCCATACATTTATGGGCTGAGCGGTGGCTCTGTGGCTAAGGATCTGTGGCTGGAAGGTTGCCGGTTCAAATCCCACAGCCGGCAGAGGAATCCTACTCCGTTGGGGCCCCTGAGCAAGGCCCTTAACCCCAGCTATTCCAGGGGCGCTGTACAATGGCTGACCCTGCGATCTGACACCAAGCTTCTCTCCCAGTCTGTGTGTCTCATGGAGAGCAAGCTGGGGTATGCGAAAAGACGAATTCCTAATGCAAGAAATTGCATAGGGCTAATAAAGTGATGTGATGTGTGAAATTCCAAGCGATTGGATTTCAGTCCGTTACATCTTCTGATCTGATTGCGGGAGTGCAGTCAAGAGCCTTGTGAATCCACAGGAGCTCATCAGCAGTGTGAAAACGTGACAAATGAAAAATGCTTGTTTTTGTGTACAGTTTTTAATAGTGTTATTACATAGAAGTAGTGTACTTGTAAAAAACAAACCAAAAAAGGGCTCTTAATTCACACTGCTCTCCTGCACAGTCATTGGGCTCAGTAATGTCACTCACAAGAGTGATAGGCTGTATTTTTTTATATATATAGTTTCTTCTTCTGATATTGTGTTTGTGGTCATAGCCATTCCTCTGATGGTATCTGATTTGTCTGAATGTCACCAAAGGTGCAGAACTTTACTTGTGGCACATGAGAAGAGTCCTTTAGCCTGGGGTTCTACAGCTCGGCACCCCAAAGGCTTTGTGACACTGTCCAAGGCTATTTCCCTACCTCTTTTTCTCATAACTCATTTTTTTTCCCAGAACGTTTTATGTTGGAACAGTTAGCATCACAAATAAAGAACAGCATATCACAGTACACACAACAGGATATGCAACATATGAACATTTGTTGTAAACCTTTTTCAACACTTTCCACACAATTGCTAAATAACACTGCAGATGAATGAAATGTATACCTAAAAGACTCGCAATAGGATTCTCATCATAGTTGAAGTGTGCAGAGGCCCATGGCCAGTGTTGTGTACAGTGTCTGTCCGGTCTGGAGCACGTCACCTTGTCTTTTCCTCACTGCTTTTCCTCTTACACTGTGCTCTGTACCACTCCACTCCGCCTGTTCAGACAGATTCTCTCTCTCTCTCTCCCTGCTCTCTGGTTTTATCCAGGATTTGAAAGCTGGGTTAATGTTTAATTCCTATTAGACCCATGCTAATATTACCAAGGCCCCTCACAGCTGCTTTGCAAGGAAGCTTTGAGCTCCTAAATAACCAGCTTCTCGACTTTCTGGAAATAGTCTGAGTAGCACGACGATTTCAATCCCTGATACACAGATGTGGCATCAGGGGCAATTTAGAGCTTCAAATCTAGTCCTCTAAGGACAACTGTACTGCTATGCAATTTAGATTTTACTGTATTGAGTGCTAATCATTCAAAACATCCCATTACATTTCACCATAGAAGCAGGGGAGTAGCTCCTAAATTGTTTTCTCATAATTTCACCTTTAAACAGCCTGCTTTGAAATGAGATTTAGAATACAATAGAAATGGACTGGTATTTCCAGTAATACATTTCAAAATGGGGATTGAAATGCATACAAATATTTACCCCGTTAACAAATCCATCGTGTGTCACCAGGATCGAAAGAAATTGTTTGGGCACAAATGCCACATTTCTGGCTTTCCAGGTAGTAATTCTGCCCACCAGGGCAGAATTTATGTTGGTAAGCTTCTTCAAACCCCTTGCCTGTGCTAGGCTTTAAATTGGAAAAGCATCGTTTCCTGTCCCATGAGCAGTCATCTGATTTCTTGTACAAAACTGTTATTGCAATTGGATGAAAAAATTAATGTACTGCACCAGTGCACTGGGATTTACTTACAATGTGGAGCTCTCAAGACAGTGCAGTGATTGCACTTGTTACAATTCTTGTCCTTGTTCAAGGACACAAGAAATAAAGAATGTTAATTCAGGGGAACTGTTTTTGTGGCAATTTATTTTATGAACAATAGGGGTTACAGCAAGGAGAAAATGATCTGTGTTGACTGCTGTACCCCCAAATCACAGGCTTAGGACATGAACTGTGGCTCTCTCAAAGGCCCTCCCCCATTGAGTAGGTTGATGCCCAAAACAATCAACCTGCAAAATAAAAATGCCACTAGGTTATTTACTGGCATGAAGCATGCAGTCCTGCAGTCACAGTGTTTAAACATGATTCTCCTTTGCAGAAGGGACTGCCATTCAGGCCCTGATTGCTATCTATGTAGCAAGTCCTTATATTGTAATGAAACACACATACACAGTCATGTTAAAGCCCTGTAGTACATTTCCTATCATTGGAATCAGCATAGGGTCAAATTCTGGCCTTGGAAAATTGTTAGGTCTCTATGAAGAAGCCCTTTGCTCGGTTGGTAACAGATCAATGCTGTTAATATAGGTGTTGTAAGGCAGATCTAAAATAGTATCTCACTGGCATGCACCTAGCGCTCATCCTGGATAAAAATAAACAAAAACTGAAGTACTTGAAATGACAGCAGGCTGAAAACATGAAACACAGCCTCTGGTGTTGCTGATGCAATAAGATGCCCAAATCTTGGATGCACTGCTTCTGCCGTGTCCTGCATCTCTCGACCTGCAGGATTAAATGCCTTTGGTACTTGGAGCATGGCACAGTCTTTGTGACCTAGATATTGAAGAGAAAAATGTAGATAAATCCGCCAGCCTCTCTCTAGCAGCTGTAACGAGGAAAATCTTACTATTGTAGTCATATAGACATTTTCCTAATGTTATCAAATCCATGATCACAACAGTATGGTTTTATTAAATATGCTTTTAATCTGTTAGTGTGTTTGGATCCTTTCCAGATTTCTGCAGTTTGGCTAGAGAGGACTATTAATACTCGGATTTTAATAATTATCCCTAAGGAGGGGGTGTCTGTTGGGCTGAACAGATGGGCTATCCTGATGCCTGTGATTTTTCTCTGTGGGCTGTGCCTGCCCGTGCCACCAGAAGCTGTGTTTGTAGTGGGCAATCTGATGCAAAGATCCCTTCTCCTGTCTCTGTCGGCGATCGCTCCGTCACTCACTTCTCTCTCTCTCTCTCTTTCTCACTCTCCCTAGCGCTGATCCTTTCCCTGCAAGCTTTCAGAGCTTTCTCAGGGAGGAGGTGCTTGACTTTTTCTGTAGCCAATGTCACAAACAAATTAGTCGCCTTGAGGACCTGTCAACCCGCCTGAATTACCTTGAAATGAATAGGTAACTGCATGCAGGATCCTGCCTAGCCATCTCCCCTCACTCTGTGTGTTTTGTATGATCTGTGTGTGCTTAGCATTGCCTTCATGGGCTCTGTGAATTCTGGGTGGTGCACTATTGACATTTCTTCTTACTTCGAAATCCTTGGTTCATATGCTCCTCTCGTTAAATTAATTATGCTGACTGCATTCTCATTTCACTTTGCCTGACCTGTGTTTGGAAACCTCCCTGTTCTGGCTGGCCTGCCAGCTGTTGGCAAATGCTGTTTTTTAAATGTAAGCAAAACGAATCAAATAGTTTTGCGTTTACTAGAGACTATATATAGTATCTAACCCTCTTGGCCTTGACAGTCTCTGCTGATAATACCACAGTTGTTGAAAATTAAGCTGTTTTGTTTGTGAAGTTGGTTGACCAGTTTAAAAAAAAGAATGCTAGGGTATTAAGATCAAAGATTTTAAAGAGCCTCACATTTAGGCATTAAACAGCTTGCAACTTTTTGTAGGGATCTTTATAATTATGGGAATGCAATTGAAGTCAATCAGTTATATGTAACTGAAGTGCCCATAGAGAACCTTTCCAAATCCCCCCACATTGTGTCACATGTCTTAAGATCTGAATGTTTTTACCAGTGAGAATCACATTCCTCTTAGATCCTTGGATTCCATGTCTGAAGGTACCTGATTTCCTGCAAGTTTTAAATGTTTAATCATCTTTCAATACAGATATTAGAGGGGCTCTAATTGCCTGCTATCTGTATTAAAAGATGATTAAACATTTTTTTGCACAATTTAATGCCAAGTCTGTAGTATCACTGCCACCATCTTTCAAACCACAGGGAAAGCAAAACCATTTTTTTAAGAAAACTTAACTAGACATGGCGAGGACTTCACCTTCCTAGCAGGGGACTGAGTGTGGCTTTGGCGCAGGCCTTGGTCAGCCGCGTGTGCGCTGTAAACATCAGCTACCGTCCTGTCTGGACTGATCT